GTGTGTGTGTGTGTGTGTGTGTGTGTGTGTGTGTGTGCCTTGTGGCTGCGGGTGCTGTTGCATAAACTATGATCGCCCTCTGACGCATATGCGCTTGCCTTTGGTGCTCGCAGGAGTTCTTGGAGAAGATGCGGCATGAAAGGTAAACTGAACTCAAAACATGAGAGTGTGGATGTGCGAGTGCGAACCTGCATGCGAGTGCGTTTGTGTGCGGGCGAGTGCGGTTGTGTGTACAAGTGCTGTATACTCAGCACCAACTCACGTGCACATGTGCCTCCACTCAACACACCTCCCACGGTCGATAGCGCCTTTACGCTGGTGCAGCCCGTGAAGACGTTCATTGCGGAGAACTCCCACCCGATCCACAATCCACAGGATGCGGTGCCCGTTGTGCACGACTTTCTCGATTCTCTTCACGACGACATTCAGCGCCACGAACTCTGGAAGGTACGTCTGTGCGTGTGCATGTGCGTCTGTGCGTCTGTGTGTCTGTGCGTCTGTGTGTGTCTGTGTCTGTGTGTCTGTGTGTCTGTCTGTGTGTCTGTGTGTGTGTGTGTGTGTTCGAATTGCACCTGCTCTGTTCACTTGTCTGCCCGTTCAATGCATATGGGCGTGCTCACCTTCCTCTTGATTGCGGGTGGCACAGGGCGGCACGGATGCGGACATTGACAACGCGTGCGAGGGAATGGAGAAATACATCTTGTCAAAGCTCTACAGGTGCTGCATTGCAATGCGCAGCGCACTGCTCACCCCAGCGAGAACTTCGAGCAACCGGGACGCCACACACACACACACACACACACACACACACACACACACACACACACACACACACACACTCCTGCCCCTTCCAGGCGCCGCGAGACAAAGCAATTTGCATTTTGAATTGCGTCAAGCTGATCATGTCCGTGCTTGAAATGACGTCATCAGAGACGGGTGCGCAGCATGCACGTGTATGCCAGCTGTGCTAACACTCACACCAGCGTTCACACATGATGTATGTGTGTTGCACGTGTGTGCTGTGCAATCAATGTCAGCACATGCCATATCCTCATGCACTTTACCATGTACACAACCCCTGCAACCAACACGTCGCAACATGTCCCCCCCCCCCACGTGGCACTCCATCAAATTACCAACCACAATCTTGATACTTTAGGTGCGGATGCCTTTATTCCGCTGTTGACATATGTCATCTTGCAAGCCCAGCCGCCAAATCTCATCAGCAACCTCAAATATATCGAAAGGTGTGTGCCTTGAGAGAGAGTGTGTGTGGGGGGGGGGGTGTGGGTGGGTGTGTGCGTGTGTAATGCGTTGCTGATGCGTTGCTGTTGCGCGCTTTGGTGGTGCGCATATCCCGTGGCTGTTCCCACCCTATGGCAACTCCTATCTACCTCACCACATTAGCACCCCTCGGCCGTTTGTCAGGTTTCGGTCACCTGTGAAGCTGCGGGGCGAAATGGCGTACTATCTCACCAACATGATGGTGAGCTGCACTGGCTGCACGTGAACGTGTCAATGAACGTGTGAATGCATGCGTGCCTGAACATGTAATTGACCGCCGTGAATGTGTGACTGTGTGGGAAAAGGGATTAGCGAATGCGTAACAGACATGCGTGGCACGTGTGGTGCGTGCTTGTGCTATGATGCATCTGCGACACCACACGATTGACGCGAGCGTGTGCATGTGTGGTGGTGTTGTCTCAGGTGTGCATGGAGTTTATCAAGACGGCAGACGCGAGCCGCTTCAACATCGATGCAGGTAAAGGGTAAAGTGCAATGGCGGTGCACAGTTGCAGAGATACAGTGGCACATGACTGTCCGATTGTGTTCTTGCTCTCGTCAACACACACACACACACACACACACACACACACACACACACACACACACACACACGTGCACACTCGCACGCATAAACCTGCCACCTCGTTGGCATGTGCCGTGTGGATTTGCGTGGTGTTGCTCTGTCTGCGCGCAGATGAGTTTGAGGAGCAGTTAACGCGACAGCTGGAAGAGATGCACCCGACACCGGCCAAGCCACGTGAGACAAACACGCCCGCGGACTAAAGGGTAGCCATGGCGTGGTTGATGAATGACGTGTGTCCAACATTTCTTGACACTCACACACACACACACAATCACAATCACAATCACAATCACAAATCGCACTCACACACACACACACAATCACAATCACAATCACAAATCGCACACACACACACATACACATCACACACATACACACACACACACAATCACAATCACGTTAGGAATGGAGAAGCCAACGCGTCCGCCACCGCCGCCACCACGGGGGGTGACAGTGAAGACGATATCAGCAGCTGATGGCGGTGGTGACACTGATGGCGGTGATGATACCCGAGATCGGACAGACACCATCACCCCTGCAGCCAGGGTGAGCCGCACGCGCACACACGCATTCCACCTGCTGCTGCTGCTGTCGTAACCGTCGTCGTTGTTGTTTTCCGTTTGTGATCGTGGTGCCATGTTGTTGTTGTTGTTGTTGTTGTTGTTGTTGTTGTTGTTGTTGTTGTTGTTGTTGTTGTTGTTGTTGTTGTTGTTGTTGTTGTTGTTGTTGTTGTTGTTGTTGTTGTTGTTGTTGTTGTTGTTGTTGTTGTTGTTGTTGTTGTTGTTGTTGTTGTTGTTGTTGTTGTTGTTGTTGTTGTTGTTGTTGTTGTTGGTGTTTAAGTTGTTGGTGTTGTTGTATCAGCTTAGATCTGCTTGTTGCTTTCATACACATTCACACAAATGCCACAACCTCACCTCACCACAACCTCACCTCACCACAACCACTCCACAACAACCACCACAACAACCACAACAATCACCACGGATGGCGGCCACCAGTCGGGTCGCGTCCCCGCTGCCGTCAACGCGATTCCATCAACACCATCGTCTGCCCACCGATCCGGGGCACAGTCACCCACGACAGCAGTGACAGCAGCAACAGCAACACCAATGGCACTGATGGGGCGAGCAGGAGATGCGATTGCGACAACAACGCATGTCCCGCTCGTGCCTGTGGAGAGCGCACCTGTGTTTGCAGCAGAGGGTGATGGTGGTACAAGCGGAACAGCGGCGCACGCACAACCACAAGCACATGCACACGTACACGTACAACCACCGCATGCAGCGCCACCACAGCAGCAGCAGCAGCAGTCATCACGTGGGCACGGTGAACGAACGCAGTCTGAAGACTTTTCGGAGCTGGTGGGGCGGGCCTCTGTTCCGGCGATTGAGCGGTTTCGTGTTATGGACGTCTCGCAACTCACCATGGTGCGTTGCACGCGGCCTGTATGTGTGTGTGTGTGTGTGTGTGTGTGTGTGTGTGTGTGTGTGTGTGTGTGTGTGTGTGTGTGTGTGTGTGTGTGTGTGTGTGTGCAGGTTAAACGGTGAGAGGGTGGGTGATTTGCTGTTGCATGCATGCATGCGTGCTATTTGTACATTCGGGTTGTTCACTTGAATGGCCCACGCGCGCGCGCGCACACACACACACACACACACACACACACACACACACACACACACACACAACTGAAGGCGGACATTCCCATGCTTCTGAACGACTACAAGCGGCTGGCGGCGCTGAATGACGACCTGACCAAGACCCTCAACCTCAACCTCGGCCTGTGATCAAGAGACCGTGCAAGCAGAGATGCTGTGCCTTTAAATGCACACACACACACACACACACGTGCACACAGAGTTCTCGTGTCGCCCTCGCTTACGTCTTCCATGCTGCGTTCTTTCATCATCCTCTGCGACACATGACCTCACAGGGCTGTCTGGGGTTGTATTGACAAGTAGACAGTTGTACACGAAACAAACAGCAGTGGAAGCGAAAGCAGGGCACTCACTGACTTGTGATGATGTCTGGTGGGGAGTTAGTTGAAGGAAGAGCTGGTGATACTGAATAGGAAATACGCAATAGGGCAGCGTTGAAATGACATACGTGTGCAACATGCACCGTCACATCGGATAGAAAGAAACAACCACGTGTCGCTAGCACAGACACATGCACAGGCAGACAGACTGACAAATAGACACACACATGCACAGGCAGACAGACAGACAGACACGCACGCACACATACACACAAAACACAACGCAACTCAACAGAACACAACACACAACGGTTGTCAAAAGCAGCATGATCTGCGACGGAAGGTGGGGGCGTCCGCGGTTGCGTGGAAGAACCAGTCAAACTCATCTTCATTATCATCACTGCAGCAACGAATGAGAACAATCGCAAGCACGAGCAACACGACGGTGAACATGCGCATCCTGCTTGCTGGCTGGTGGGTGATGCGCGCCCTCACGCACACACGCACAAACACACTCTCTCTATCTCTCTCTCTCTCCCACAAACATACACACGCACACACACACAAACATTCACACACACACAAACACTCACACACACACACACACACACACAAACATACACACGCACACGCACACACGCACACAGGCACGCACGCACACAGGCACGCACGCACACGCACAACATTCCCCAATTGTCCCACCTGTGCTGGTGTGCGCGCGCCGCCGCTTCCTGTTCGGTCCATTCCGGATAAACAATCCGCACATCCCCGTGCAATGTCCGGAACACGCCCGTGCGCTCGACATCGGGGCGTGCTGTCCCCATCGGCTCGGGTGCATCAGCAACACCAAGGCGAGCCATGTTCATGTGGATGTTGCTGCAGCTGGCACGCGTGCGTCGCGGTGTTGCAGGCGCGTCACGTGTGCCATGTGTGCCGTACGTGTCGCGTGCGTCGTGTGTCTCACGATCACGCGCACGCTGCTCGTGCACCAGGTTGCTGCTGCGCCGGCGTTGCTTCACAGCTTTGGCCCTCCCACCCGGCTGCTGCTGGTGGTGCTGCTGGGGATGATGGGAATGGATGCGGGCGTGTGGAGACTCACCCTTGCTGCTGTCGCTGTCACCGTGATAGCGCTCACGCCAATCGTGATCTTCGCTGCCACGTCTCTCTTCCTGGCTGAAGCAGTGGCGCAGCGGTGCACGGAGCGTGGTTGGCGACGTGGGCGTGCTGACATGTGTCGGGCTCCCGTTTGCACTCAGATTGCCGTGGCTGTCGTGCAAATGGCGCCTGTGCGGGCTAGGGCTGTTGGCAGTGGAGGAGAGGGCGGTGCGGAGTGGAGATGTGCCCGGTGTGCTGAATGGCGAGTCGTCGTCAACAGACCGCGTCTTCTGAACGTGCGGCAGCAGCGTGCGGTGGCGGGTGACAGAGGGGCAACGCGAGATGGGAGGGGATGGGATGGGCGGTGGGGGCTTCAGGTTGGGCGCCTATGGTGCATGGGCGAGCAAACACATGTGATGTGAGGGAGGGACGGAGAAGCATCGTAGTTTCAGTGGCGTACATGGCACATGTATCACAGTCAGTCAGCCATCGAGGTTGCCAGAAGAGACAACGAGATTCGCACGAGAACCCACAGTCGCACGCAGGGGCAAACAAGAGAGAACTTCACACACATGTCGACACAAATGTTTGCATTCACACATGTCGTAGCACACGTTTACACACACACAAACACACATGTAATAGCACACGTTCAAACCCGCACACACCGAATATTCCCCCACGAACCGTGAAAGCGACCGTCTTGGCCCTGCGTCGGTTGCGTTTCTTCATCTGTGACTGCTCCTCCTCCTTGGGCGAGCGTGGTGGGGCAGGTCCATATCGAAGCAGCGCCTGCCACCAGATGTCGTTTGAGCTGAGCCGGCGCAAGACCTTCAGCACAAGGCCCTGCACACCCTTGAGGTAGCACCAAGCATGTGCAAATAGGAGAATGGTGAGGTTGTTTTGTGTGTGTGTGTGTGTGTGTGTGCGTGTGTGTGCGTGTGTGTGTGTGTGTGCGTGTGTGTGTGTGTGTATGCGTGCGTGCGTGCGTGCGTGTATGCGTGCGTGCGTGCGTGTGTGTGTGTGTGTGTGTGTGTGTGTGTGTGTGTGTGTGTGTGTGTGTGTGTGTGTGTGGAGAGAAGGTTACACGAGTTGACATGAAACTGCAGCGCGGGCAAAGTGAGAGCGCAGGATCAAGGGTGCGTGTGCTCGTGTATTCCCTCCCAACATGCAATACCTGTTGTGGCGCGTCAACGACAGTGTAAAGAGATCCCAGCAGCATACCTGCCACCAACATCTTGACACCGTTGATGCCTTCCAGAAGACTGGCTCTGCGACCGTGCAGTGTTTGCACAAGATCACGCAGCAGCACGCTCACAACACCTTCAGCGAAGCTTTGCGCCATCTCGCGGTGGTCTGGCGTCTGTGCATGTGAGAGCGAGAGAGAGTGTGTGTGTGTGAGTGAGAGAGAGAGAGTGAGAGTGTGTGTGTGTGCGTGCGGGTGTGAGAGAGAGAGAGTGTGTGTGTGTGTGTCAGTGTACGTGTTTGTGCTCTTGTGTATGCTAAGTGAATGAGTATGTTCGGGAGGAAATACCCGCATGCACTGGAGGACGAGAGTTCTGCACCCATCAACAACAACAAGCAGAACAACAACAGCAACAACAACTTAAACAACAACAACAACAACAACAACAACAACAACAACAACAACAACAACAACAACAACAACAACAACAACAACAACAACTTAAACAACAACAACAACTTAAACAACAACTTAAACAACAACAACCTCAACAACCTAAACAACCTAAACAACAACAACGACGACGACGACGGGAACGTACATGTTTGTTGTCGATCATCTGCTTGTACATGGACTCGAGCTCAGCGCAAAGATGAGGGTCGTTTTCAATCCAGTGCAGGGCTTCCGTTGTGGCCAGCTTCTCAAAGCAAGCCTGCAGCCGTTCAGACACATGCTGGCCTGCCTCGGCTTCGGTCTTGATGCCTTCCGCCTTGAGATCCGCTGCGGTGAACGTTGGGTCCAGCGTCCACAGCAGGCAGCACAGCTCCTTGGCCGTCCCGTGTCGGAACATTGGTCTATTGGTGTTGCCCTTGGTGGCGTCAAAGGGGAAGGCCAGGGGAAGGAGAAGGGCTCTGGTCGATCGGGTCGATGCAGATGGAGACTTGGAGAGATGGCCTCCTGTAGCACCTCTGTGTAGGTGGTGTGTATGTGTATGTGCGTGTGTGTGTGTGCGCGCGCTGGGGGAAAAAGGCGGGATACAATAACAAGGGTTGGTGCATAGGTGGTGCGTGGAAAGATGGAAGATGCTGGTGAACAGGCGGGAAACAAATAGACAAATCAGAGAACACTCACACACAACAAACGCACTGCAACACAACAACAACAACACCGAAAAGCAAGGCCTTGCTTCGTTCGCTAGGATCAGCCAGGCTGGCCCACTAAAGCCCTCACAACGAGTGTGCGAACGACACGCAACCTCCTTCACCACCGCCACAAAAAGACAAAACACACAAACGAAAGCACATCACACGCACCACAAGACAACGAACGAACGATGAACCCTACCAACCAACCAAAACAAGGCGAGCTGCGAGCCACAGAGAAACACGTACGTCTTGCAACAATGTAATGTAACGACCTTCACACAACAGCACGCCAGCTCTTCCAAAACCTTCGGCCTCTTGCGCTTGATGGTTGGGTGCTCGTCCCTTAGAACCGTCAAGGACGATATTTCGACAGCATTAACTGTAGTTACTCACGACGGACGACAGGCGGAAATATGGCGGGAGACTTCTCAAGCTCCTCGCACTGGTGTGAGCGGTGGTGTGTGTGTGTGTGTGTGTGTGTGTGTGTGTGTGTGTGTGTGTGTGTGTGTGTGTGTGTGTGTGTGTGTGTGTGTGTGTGTGTGTGTGTGTGTGTGTGTGTGTGTGTGTGTGTGTGTATGTGTGCGTGTGTGT